CCCCCCCGCATCCCTGCGCCCCAGCCCTGCATCCCTGCGCCCCAGCCCTGCATCCCTGCGCCCCAGCCCTGCCTCTCACCCGGCAGCAGGAGGATCTCTCTGGTCCCCTCCTGTTCATCGCTCCCCTCACCATGAAGAACTTGTGCCTCCCTGCCCGCACCCTGACCCCGCACCTACCCATGCACCCACCCGTGCACCCACGGGAGAGGATTTTCCTCTCTGAGGACACACAGGTCAAGTCCCACAGATGCTGCTCCCTTAGCCGCGGCTGTCGGGTGGCTGTGCCCCCAAAGGGTGCTGGTGGTGGGCTGGGGGCTGGAGGGGAGGGAGCCCCGGGGGTTGCTGTCCTGGGGCCATGCCTGTGCTGAGCTGGAGAACAACCTCGCCTGAGCCTTCAGCAAGTGGGGAGGACTTCGTAGTATCATGCGGGCTGAGATCGGTCCCCCTGACATGGGGAGCGAATAGCGGGGAGCAGCACCCCGTCCCGGGGCCGCGCTGGGCACCCGCAGGAGCCGGGGTGAAGGCGGTGCTGGTCTGGGGTGTCGCAGCTCTCTCCAGGGGCTGTGCTTTGCTGCGGCGAGCAGGGAAACGATGAGGCTGTTTGGCGTCACAGGTGCACGTTTCTAACGAGGAGCCTGACCATGGCCACGGGGGGGACAACCAGCCCCCCCAGCGTCCCTCGTCACACCAACCGCCTGATTAACGAGAAGTCCCCCTACCTCCTGCAGCATGCTCACAACCCCGTGGATTGGTAAGAACGGCTGGTGGCTTTCTCCCTCCTCCTCTCCTTGCGTCCGTGGGGCTGAGGGACTCGCTGCCGTGGAAGCGGTGGCAGGCGAAGCAGCCTGGCCTCCTGTGTGGCTCCCTGCAGGCTCGGGGTCCGCGCTCCCGAGCCAGCCATGCCCCCGGCTGTCCTGACCGCTCTCCACCAGGCAGCAGCTTCTCAGGCAGCTTTAGAGGAGCCCGGGTCCCAGCAGCGGTGACCCCTGAAGCTCCTCTCTTGTCTTCCCTCCGCAGGTACCCTTGGGGTCAGGAAGCCTTTGATAAAGCAAAGAAAGAAAACAAGCTGATATTCCTGTCAGGTAACCAGCAACAAGACATATTTCACGTTCCCATGTGTTGTTCAGTAGATGACCAGATAAGCCGGGCTGCGTCCTGAGCTGGTGTGAGTAGCCACGTAGGTAAGGACGGACACTGAGCACTGCTAGCAAGAAAGGGCCACGTGCTTTAGTGGCTCTCTCTGAAGATGGGCTGCATCAAGGACCAGAGTCCTTGGCCAGATTTTAGGAGCGAGAGCTGGAGAGCCCAGGAGGCCCTGCAAGCCTCCATGCTTGCAGGAGGCCTTTCTCCTCCATCTCTTCTCTAGGGGCGCAGCAGCTGTTGCCCATAGCAGGGTTCCCCACCTCTGAGCCATCTCCCTGTAATGCGTGTCCCGCTCTCTGCAAAGGGCCATTCCTCACTCGCCTGCGCTTGTTTTCAGTTGGCTACTCCACCTGCCACTGGTGCCACGTGATGGAGGAAGAGTCCTTCAAGAACAAGGAGATCGGGGAGATTATGAACAAGAACTTCGTGTGCATCAAAGTGGATCGTGAGGAGCGGCCAGATGTGGACAAAGTGTACATGACCTTCGTGCAGGTAGGGGAGGCACGGGCAGGGCTCGGGAGGCTTTGACTGGCTCTCTCAAGCTGAGGTTCACGGTCATGTTCCTCAGACAAGAAGAACCAGTATGTGGGGTGGTCTGAATGGGGCCATGCATGATCACAAGGGGGGAAAGAAGCACGCGTCTGTCCTCAAGTGAGGCGCTTGGATGTGCCGGAGGGTACAGAGCAGAGGGTGCCTCTTGTGTGACCTTGGTGCGCCCGTGGTTTGTCTTTCAGGCAACCAGCGGTGGAGGTGGCTGGCCAATGAGCGTCTGGCTGACTCCAGACCTCAAGCCCTTTGCAGGGGGGACATACTTCCCTCCTGAAGATGGAGTTCATCGTGTTGGCTTTCGGACTGTGCTGCTCCGAATCGCAGAGCAGGTACGGAGCAAAAACAGATGGTGTAGCAGGCAGTGCTCAACCAAAGGGGCTGCAGGGAAATTGGTCTGGGCTTGACAGGTGACCGAGTCAAGAGATACAGTCGTGAGAAGCAGTAGCCCAGAGAACATGTCAGAGCTTTGGCTGGGTTAGAGACGGATTGGAACTGAGCTGGGGAGGGGGACCAAGAACTAAAGGTGCAGTTTCGGCTGGTGCAATGCAGGAAGCAGAAAGCCAAAAAATGGAAGAACTGACTTTCTCACTCTGCATCTTAGTGGAAGGAGAACAAAAGTGCCCTGTTGGCGAACAGCCAGAAGATCCTGGAAGCGTTGCTACACATGTCCGAGATCCGTGCGCGGGGCCAGGAGTCACCCCCACCATCCAAAGAGGTGATGGCCACCTGTTTCCAGCAGCTCTCCAACTCCTACGATGAGGACTATGGTGGCTTTTCCGAATCCCCCAAGTTCCCCACCCCAGGTCAGTCTGGCCTCTGCTGCTGAGCCCCGCCGTGGGGCAGGCAGTGCCGGCGGGCAGAGCCCACCCCACAGCCTCCCACTTTCTTCCCTGTGTTTCAGTGAATTTGAATTTCCTCTTCACGTACTGGGCCCTGCACCGGACAACTCCAGAAGGTGCCCGGGCACTGCAGATGGCTCTGCATACACTCAAAATGATGGCCCATGGGGGCATCCATGACCACATCGGTCAGGTAGGAGGGAAGCCTCGGGGGTAAACCCCTGGCATGTGCAGGAGGCATGGGGTGGAGGTGTTGGGTGGAGACGTGGGGTGGAGATGTGGAGACGTGGGGTGGAGATGTGGAGACGTGGGGTGGAGATGTGTCCTCTTGGTCTTTGCAGGGGTTTCACCGCTACTCCACTGACCAGCACTGGCACGTCCCTCACTTTGAGAAGATGCTGTACGACCAGGGGCAGCTGGCAGCTACGTACAGCAGAGCGTTTCAGGTACGGCTGTGGCATCCCTCTGCAGGGGGGCTCACTTGGCACGGAGTGCTGGCTGGGGAGGGCTGCCTTGGTTTGGGGAGCAGCTTCGAAGCCTGTTTCCCAAAATGTTGCCCATCCCATGGGCATGGAGCGGTCCCATGTTCCCCTTCATCTACTGGTCTTCATCTGGACAGGAACGGTGCACAAATCCATGACGGTTCAGCCCCAGGGTTTTGAGCGTAATGGGGGAGGGAACGGCCTTCTGGCTGGTCTTTGCAAGAGTCAGCAAGCACGTGCTGCTGCCTCTGACCTTGCTGTAACTCCAGGGTTGCTCTCTAGTGCCTGTACATTTCTATCAGGGATCTTACTCTGAATCCATCCCACGTTTAAAATCCCTGGACGTTCAAATGTGTTTCTTCCCCTTTTCCAGCTCTTTAAATCAGAATAACTTATTCTATCTCGCTGTGTCTCTGCCCCT